CCGGAGCCTCATCAGAAGTTAGGTTGAGACAGCATTTGTAATATGGTGACTGCGGCCATTTGGCTTCAAAATGTCTCTTCAGAAACCAATGGGTGACATCACTGAGAATACAGCCATGTTTTATACAGTCTATGCTCACTGGAAATAATTGTTGCTGGGGCCCCAATCAAGACTGAGGTCCTGTTTTAGCAGCTGGATCCTTGAGAACAGCCATCTCCCTAACTGGCACAACATCCTCTGAAAGGTTAAATTGGGAATCCTGGGGGCCAAGGCCGGGAGAAGGGGAGGGGAGCTTGGGAAACTGGTGACACTGGGAGGATGGGTTATATCCATCCTTCCGTCGCCGTCACTTCATCTGCTACTACTGTTTCTGGCTCGAGGAATGCATGGGAAACAAGCTGCACCTCAGCGGCGTCGAGGCGAACACTAGAAGCTGCTGTTGTTGTAACTTGTCTTTGACCTTTGACCTGCTTTGAGCCTGAACTGTTTCCTCGACTTGACTCCGTTGACTGGAAGGGATAACAACATGTCTTTGTTTCATAACAGTTGGAGGATATTGTTTCAACATTTAAGGCTTGAGACTCTCCGTGCGGTCATTTTAATGTGTTAAAACTAACAACATGCCTGAGGGGGGAACTCGGCTGTCCCTCACAGTGAGGGAGATGTTGAAAAGTTGCTTTAAGTTTGACTCACACACACTCTCAGGGGTTTTGGGCGTCCAGACTTGTGTTTTTCTTGTTTGTTTTTTGTAGCTGCAGTCATCATTTTGATTTTTCCATGGACTTTGGCACCAGGCAAGTTCTCAGCCCATTTCTCTTTGAGCTGCTGTTGTGATAAACAACAACAGAGTTAACAGCTTATTTCACTCATGAACTCCTGAACATGTAAAAGCTCAGATCAGGTTATAATCGTGTATCATACTTATAACTTGTAGTCTAAAATAACAGATAACAGCTAAATTTGATTAAATAAAGAATCACAAGAGAGTGTTAAAGGTCCCATATTGTGCATGTTTAGGCACATCTTTGTGCAAAAATTCAAAGTCCGCGGAAACGCAGCTTCTCCTACGTCCTCCTGTTAGCTGTAGCATTAGCTGCATGTAACGCTCGGTTCTAGCCCCCCTCGAAATTTTTTGCCAGTGTGACGTCTTGTCAGTGTGATATCACTGATCTAAGCCCATTGGCTCGTTGTGGTAAGCCCAGCAGCTCATGTTGCAGGCCTGTCATCTGTAGCACGCCCACGATATGCCGTAGCCTGCGGTAGCACAGTAGTGCTAAGGTGCTAATGTTTTTGCTCCCCTCAGAGCAAAAGTGGCTGCATTCCCAATATGGTAAAAGGGGCGGGACATTTCCAAGAACTGTGCTGAGCAACTGACCAATTACGGCAGAGCTGACCAATCAGATCAGACCACATGCGGGGACTCTGAACGTGGGCACTTCAGAGCCTTAGAGAGAGAGTCAGAAGCGAGCCGGTGCATGGAGCGGCAGTTCAAGAAAACAGACACTTTAGAACTTTAGCTATTGAGAACATACTTTAGTAGATACATAGATTAAATATATGAACCCCAAAAAGGGAATATGGGCTGTTTAAAGTAAGTCTGTGCAAGCGGAGCCCCTGCGCATTCACAGAGGAAAACCTGTAGCGGATTTGAGTGAAGCCTCATCAGTGTTCTTATTAAATTTGATTTTATGCATAATTCTTAAGTGTGATGAGAGAGAAAGGGAAATTAATGTCTCACTTTCTGAGTAAATTCTGTGCATATTACTGAAGCTACAAAAGGGGTGTGTGTAACTTCTATTGTTTAGCTTCTTCTTCATGTGTTGATGTGTGTGAGTGTTGTTTTTATTACATTTAGTTAAGTTGTTGTTAATGAAACGTCAACTCGTCAATTTCATGATTACTTCTCCCCATTGTTAAGGGCTCAATTCTTTAAATCCAAAATCACCTCTCACTCTTTCTCTCTTCTTTGGTTTTCCACTCCTCTGGGCCTCACTCCTTTTCTCTCTCTGAAGTACTTGAGAAGAAGGGACGACTTTTAAGAGTGATGGATGATTTCAACATTTTCATCTCTCTGAGAAAATCTTTATCCCCGTTCTCTTTCTCTTCTAAAATGGGATTTCTCTCTGGACTTTGTCTCTCTTTCAGGAGAATCAACGAGCTCTGTCTTTACTTGAAAAGGAAAAAGTTTCAGTTTTTGGCCCCTGGGAGGGTTGAGGTAAGTTTTTTACTTGGCCTTGGACCAGGGGACGAAACCTCAGTCTTGGCCGCTCTCTGGGTCTTTTACAGCGTGTTGCCGTGACAAAGCTCAGCTGTCATCACCGCTTTGTACATTAATATTGATTTTGCAATAGTGAAGTATTGGTGTCCCAATCTTTGATTTAATATTGCAAGAGTAGAAGAGCCACAATGTGTAAGCAGCATATATTATAAAACATCTCTCTCTCTTTCTCTTTCTCTCTCTCGCTCTTTCTCTCTCTCGCTCTTTCTCTCTCTCGCTCTTTCTCTCTCTCTCTTTCTCTTTCTCTCTCTCGCTCTTTCTCTCTCTCTCTTTCTCTTTCTCGCTCTCTCTCTCTTTCTCTCTCTTTCTCTTTCTCTCTCTCGCTCTTTCTCTCTCTCTTTCTCTTTCTCTCTCTCGCTCTTTCTCTCTCTCTCTTTCTCTTTCTCGCTCTCTCTCTCTCTCTCTCTTTCTTTCTCATTCTCTCTCTCATTCTCTCTCTCTCTTTCTTTCTCATTCTCTCTCTCATTCTCTCTCTCTTTCTTTCTCTCGCTCTCTTTCTCTCTCATTCTCTCTCTCTTTCTTTCTCTCGCTCTCTTTCTCTCTCTTTCTCTCTCTCTTTCTTTCTCTCTATATCTCTGTCTCGCTTGCTCTCTCTCTCTCACTCTCTCTCTCTTTCTCTTTCTGTCTCTCTCTCTCTCTCTCTTTCTCTTCTGTCTCTCTCTCTCTCTCTCTCTCTCTCTCTCTCTCTTTCTCTTTCTGTCCTCTCTCACTGTCCTGTCCAAATGAACGTTAAAGCCCTAAAAATAAAGGGAGACTGCTTTGTAGCTGGTTTGTATCATAATATCACAAAAGATATGAAGATACGTTCAAAAAATAAAATAAACAGAGGCCCAAGTCCTCAAGAGCGGACTGCCCAAGGTCGAATTCGACCTGTGGCTCTTTTCCCCTCCACTCTCTCTCCCCCCACAGTTTCTACAAAAGTCGGCCCCTAAAAACTTTCAAAACACAAACCAAAAACATTTATCATGAAATAACAATATACACATTCTCTACACAAATGCAAATTAGAAATTCAAAATACAAGAAACTTAAATTTACAGACAAGTTAAACTTTTACTAAATATGAATAGAAATGTGCTGCAGCCTGAAATAGCCGACTCACTTGAACTACATACAGTAAAAGGCGACTGTTGTAAAAGTGTTAACTGACCCCGCTGTCTGTGCGAGTCATAAACACAAATCCCTCAGGTAGTTAAACTCTTGGTATGACTGTGGTGCTTCAATTACACCTTGATCCAACACACACACCAACACACACAGTCAAACCATAGTCTGAGGAGGGATCCAGGAGAGAGAGAGAGAGAGAGAGAGAGAGAGAGAGAGAGGAGGGATAAAGGTCAGTTTAAACAGAAAGGAGGGGGCGACAAACAAACTGGTTTCAAGTCTATGACAAGACAAACACAATCAAATGTGTCATAGTCCCTCTGTGAATGCAGCCAACACATCAAAGCTAACTTGTTAATAATTACTCTCTGCCAGTAAAGATAATTATTATTAAACCCATTTTTTTATTGCTTTTTGCATGTGTTTGTGACCAAATGTTGTGTTTCCACCTCTAGAAAAGAAAATACAATGATGAGATTTTGACGTAAGCAGAATATCAGTTAAAGGTCCTGTGAGGAACTTTGTTGTGTTGATTTTGGCGCTCATCGCATTTAAAGAGACACACACACCAAAATGGAGTGTTCTGAGAGAGCTGGTTTCTACAGGGTCACAAACCTCCTCTGGTGCTTGATTCATGTTATATTTTGACCAAAGCACAGCACAGATGTTTCATTTAGACCACAGGGGACTGTTTGAAAAGGTGGAAAAGAGGGATAATATGTCCCCTTTAAATGTGCCGCCTTGTGTTTGAAATTTGCACACAAAGGTCATAGACATAGTTATTTTCTCAAAACAGACTTATTATAGAGGTCATATTGGTTTCAGTTTTTTAGAAAGTGACTTTTCACTCATGAACCAGATCTGTAGAGAGTTCACATCCCCCACCTTGTCTCTGAAACGTGTCCCTGCAGAAAGTCTGAATTTGCAGAGCTGTCTGGACTTGCAGCCGAGATGCAAAAGGAGTTTAAAGCACGCACAGTTTGAGGCATGCAGAGTTGAGCTCGAGTCCTCGGGTTAACCCCCTCTTCTCCTTCTCCCGTTTACTTGTCCTTACATAGTCGAAAACACTGACAGCAGCAGTTAACTGACATATCATTAAATTCCCAGGGATCCACATCTGCGTACTCTGAGGGGATGTCGACTGTCTCTAGAATTAGGGGCACATGCAATTTTGAAGAAGTGAGCCTGGGAGCTACAGACTGAAACACTTGGAAGCTGTCATTCATGAGAAACTGTATATAGGCTGTACAGCAAACATCGCAATATGTGCCAGGGAACAGCTGTACACTGTTCGCGGTGAAATGTTTTCATAACATTTCTCTCATGTGGTTGGCTGTCTGTCAAAAAGTCATATCAGCTCGAGTGATCAGTTCAGAAGGAACATGTCACTGCACAACACAGCACTTGCTCTGCAGACTTTGACCAAATGTCATTCTTAAAAAAAGAATAATTCTGCTTTGTTTGAAGTTCAACCTGTTTTGGTTTCGGTTTGAACAAACAGTTTAATAGTATTTGTCATTTGAATGTTATGTGCTGCTCCAGGATCTTGTGGAAAAATGCAGCTGGTGACTTACCTCCTGGGGCTAAAAGGGGCGGAGCCACGAAATGAGCAGCAGGCTAAACAGCAAGGCAAAAGAAGCAGACTCACCATTTGCTCTGTACGCTGAGGGAGTTCACTTCAACAACCAGCTTTCTAAAAAAACAGGAGAAAAAAAAATCTTGAATTACTTTGGAAACAAACAGAGGGACTGAGAGAAGAATTCAAAACCCTAAAGAAAAAAGGATTAGACTGAAGTCTTTGAAGGAAAACTTGTAAGCGGGATTTTTCTGTTTGTGTGCAGGGTGAGACTTGTGAAGTGATTTCCTTGTTGGCATAGTGAGGAATAGGACAGATTTAAATGCCATTATGTATGTAACTGCTGTAATGGCAAACTCAACTTTCCAACTCATAGAGGACTGTAACGCCACCAACAGGGCTCTGTATAAATTCTATGCGGCGATCATGATCGTGATCTTCATCCTGGCTTTGCCTCTGAACGCCTCCGTCCTCCACCTCTTCATAGTCAAGCTGAAGTTCTGGAAGTCCAACACAAACAACGTCTTCCTTTTCAACCTGGTGCTGGCCGACATCCTGCTGCTCATTTGCCTGCCCATAAAGGCGCACAACTTCATCCAAGGTGAGAGGAGGAGCGGGAACGAGGTGGTGTGCAAAGGGATGCTCTTCATGCTGTTTTTGAACCGAGGAGCCAGCATCGCCTTCCTCACCGTCACCTCGGTAGATCGGTATTTCAACGTGGTGCACCCGGGGAGGAAGAATTTCCTGAGGGCCCTCAAGAAGTCTCCTCTGATCTCGATCCTCATCTGGCTGCTCCTCCTGCCCCTCACCATCCCCACCATGCTCAAGAACTTTGACTGCTGCAACAGCCACAAGAACGGCGACCCAAAAGATGACACCTTGATTAAGGTAAGGTTTTGCATACAGAGCATGCAACTTTAATGCAAAACATCACTTTGAAACTCTCCTCGAAATGTAGTTTTCAGATGTCTGCGTGAGAGAAAACTAGAAACAGTTACGCAATGGAAAACTGTACACGACTTGTCAGTTGTGACCATGTGGCAATATAGTGAGTTAGCACATTTTAGTATCACTGGTAAAATCAAGACCTGCATCATTCTCACTTATGCAATGCTGCAATACACCAGAAACAGGAACTCTTTTTACTCAGCTTGAGTGACTAAGAGGTCCCTGAGGTGGAAAAGAACTGACTGAGTGGATCTTAACAAGGAGGCAAAAATAATGAATGGAAGAACACAAAGAGAGCGGAGTACTCCAGGTTATCACATCCACTCAGTCAGAGATTGTTCACAGAGCTATTTTTGGCACAGGCAAACCTCACAGTGTCGCTGTGTGATATCTGGAGTGTGTCAAAGTGCACAACTTTTATGACAGGGGACACAGTTTGACAAAGCATGCTGAAATCAAATTATCAGTATTGCACGTTAAAGATGTTCTTTAAAAGCTTCTATGAATGAAAATTCAGTCTGATAAAAAAAGAAAATATTGCAAATTCGGTTTATTTCTATTTGAACAACCCGGTCGCTTTACATGATCCCACACTCATAGTGGATAAGATGGAAGCATATCTTTTATATTTAATATTGAGACAGCCCCTCTCTGTGTTTCTACCATTGCTGCTTCCTTAACAGATGTTGTGTAAAGGTAAAATGATTCTACTACTTGTTCAAGGTCACCTCGGCTGTACTCGGGAAGTGCCCTGGCACCTCTCAAGCTACCAGACCAACTTCCATATTATGGTCCGCATCAGGACTTACAGTCCCTACAGACTGAGCTACTGCCCCCCCCAAATGTGTCCACTTCATTTGTATGTGACGGATGTCGTCACCACTTAATCACTCGTTACAGATTCAGCTTGTTGTTGCTGTTTTTTTGTTGCACAGCGAGTAAAATAGAGACAGGATACAGCGTGACTAAGTCAAACTGCACACCTGATGACAGGGACACAATTTACAAAAAAAAAATACAATATTTAAATTGTCCCAAGAAGTGCTTTTCATTTTCAAGTGTTAATTTAAACCTGTCTCGGCCAGGACTCTCTTAAAAAAATGATTTTAAAATCTCAACGAGTTTCTTTCCTTTTTAATTACATGGTAGACAGGGTGTAGAAGCTGTGTAGTTTTTCTGGCACGACCTCACAAAATTCCAAGGTGCACCGTGAACGAAGAGGCTGGTTTGACCCTGATGACGGCCACAAGCTGAAACATGTTGGTCTAATAGTTTAAACTTCAACCTCCTCATAGTGGATAGGATCAGAGTCTATAATTTGTTTACATTAAAACAATGATTATAACACGGTCACTTACTAAACAGAGTTTGTGTAAAGGTCAAATGATGCTGCTGGCAACCTCTTTGTGCGCCTGGACAGTGTAACAAATGTATTTCTTATTCTTTCTGTATTTAAAGTCTTTATCTGTGATTTTTCACACTTAAATATAATATAAATCAAGTATCTCCTCTGAAAATAACTCTGTGAGTCATGACTGTCTAAAGTGGGTGTAACACCCGAGTCCCACTGTCTGTGATGTTTTCAGAGTTTTCAGAGTCCTATCTTCAATTTGTTTACATCGCCGGGACGGCCGGCTGACTCCTCCCCTCGTGTATAAAAGTTGTTTAATTGAGGGACTAGAGAAAAGAAGAATAACATACTGTACTCACTGCTTAACTGTGTTTCTAGATCACGCTCATTTCAGGTAAATTTACATGCAGTGTGACGATACGAGCTGTTTTGGTTTCATGCTGGTGCTCAAGGGCGACATCTGCTGGATCAAAAAATTGCATATAAAGCCTTTAAGTGAGACCTTTTTTTGTTTGTTTGTTTTTTTAAATATGTAAGAATTAGGGCCCGACCTCTATGACATTTTTGGGGCCAATACGGATACCGATTTCAAGGAGGACAAAAATCTGATATCTTTCTTAGCTCTATCTTGGATCTTGGGAGGTAGATAGATATTAATGTTTATTGTGATGATCCCTCAAATACAGCCGAATGCAAGTCAAAGAGAGCGTGCATGTAGGACCCAAGGCAACACCTCCAACACTTTGTACAGTTTATGATTGACACTGGAGATGGATGATGATCTTTTTCTCTGATTTAAGGATGTGGTGGACAGTATGCGAGAGGCGGTCTTCTTCACCCAGATCGTCATCCCCTTTGTCATCCTGGTGTACTGCACGGTGCACATCGTCAAACGGCTCAGGATGAAGACCGTCGGGAACACTACCAAGCTGAGGAGAGCCGTGTTCCTGGTGACCTCCGTCATGGTGGTGTTCTCCTTCTGCTTCCTGCCGTGCACCATCGCCCGGATGGTGCTGCTGATCGCTCGCGTCGAGGAGTGGCCCGAGTACAGGCAGGACAAAGCCGCCGTGGCCTTCGACGGCCTCATGGTCCTCTCCTACATGGACTGTCTGCTGGATCCGCTCGTCTACTGCTTCTGCAGCACCAAGTTCAAGTCTCTCTATCTGACCAACTACTTCCCGTGCCTGGTGAAAGACACTGCGATCCCGCCGGACAGCTCAACGGGAAACACACAGAATTGCACACGCACCAATGTCATTTAAAATGAAAAAACAGAGGAGGTGAACCAACAGATACTACCTGTGATGGACATGGTGTCCTAAAAACTGTACATATTTTAAGAAAGAGGACTTTGATTAGAAGTGCAAAGAGAGAGGATGAAATTATTTTATTTTGCTCAAATCGATTCTTGAATCTGAGAATTTAGAGGCACATCTGTAAATAGGAGGGGATGCTGGTGAACTTTATCTGTAGTGAAACATGAGGGTTTATTTCTGAGGGCCCTCAGCTTAAAGAATGCACATCTGTTTCTCGGTTTATCTTGGACAGCGACATAAGTTATGAGTTAGAACCATGAAAACTCCTTTGTAGTGTTTCATGGCTAAAAAAAAAGAAAATCATATCTGCCAGCTGATGCTGATCTCACACAAAAAGTTTCCACTCTCTAAGTGTTGAACGGTATCAGATCAGGAAAACTCATCTGCTCCAATAGTTTGAATGTAGACGGTTAGAAACTCCAAAACCTAAGGGAGCTATAAGGTGAAGATTATTTTTCCAGAGTTTTTACATAAATCATAGTCAGGATTTCTCTAACTTTAGATTCCTTTATGAGGAGTTAAACATGTGTCCCCCCCTAAAACAGACCCTTATTTGGCCCTATTATGTAAGATTTAATCCTTAAGGCCCCATACTGGAAGCTAATTATTACATAGCTGTTTATACTGCGTGTACAGAGAGGTTGCTGACATTTTTTGTTATATTTGTTTCTCTTTGGGATCATTTTTTGTAAATTGAACCTAAATGGCAATTAGATAGATGGATAGATAGATAGATAGATACTTTATTGATCCCGAGGGAAATTCAAAGCATCCAGTAGCAGGTTACAAAGACATACATGACATGAAACATTTGTTACAAATTAACCACAAAACCGACGCCCCCCCCCCCCCCCCCCCCCCCATACATATATATTAACCTGAATAAAAGATTTAAGAATACCCCTAGATGAATCAAACTTTTTTTTAGCAATGTTTGAAAAGAAGAAAATTATCAAAAAAACAGACATTAAATAACAGTCAGTGCAAACATTAAAGGTGCCATTTCAATAATTGAGGTTAAGGTTTAGCTCAGGATAGCTAGGATAGCTCAGTTTTCTAAGAAGGCCTTTTTATTGCAATCAGGGAATCTGATCTGGACCTTAAATTTTTTTAAGTCGTCAGTCGTCTCTCAACCAGAAGGTCGGGGGTTTGACCCACAGCTCCTGAAGCTGATGTCCAATGTGTCCTTGGGCAAGACACTTAACCCCAAATTCGTCAGCAGCGTATGCATGTGTATGAATGGGATTAGTTCCTTCTGATGGACACTTTACACAGCAGCCTCTACCTCTACCTTCTCCTGTGTAGGAGAAGAAAAGCGCTGCTCAAGTCCATTTAGCATCTTGGCCGTTGTTGCTACAGTTTTTTTCCACTGAGTTTCCCAAAAATAAGGCCAGCTGTTTTTCCTTAATCCATCTGACAAACTCACAAACAACAAGCGTCGAAATCATAAACTCCTTGGCTGGGGTGAGACATTTCTAAACAAAAAAGTAGTCAAAAGTCAACAAGGTGTCAACAACCTCTAAATGAACCCCCGCTCTCTGACTTAAGGATTAAACCTTGACGATTATTAATCCAGTCAACAACATGACGAGTTAAAAAAACTCCCCCTGAACTCCCAGTGAAACAGAAATCATGACTCATTGCTTCAACCGACATAACATTTCTTTTCCCAGACTTATTCACATAAGTCACCTGGATGGTCTCACTCACCTTGATGACATCATTAACAGTAATAAGACAATGAACAGAGAGTGTGTGTGTGAGCTTGTGTTGTTCACTGTCTGCCTATAAATAGATTTATAGCTTACTCATCGTGGAATTGATAAATCAGCTAAAGGTCTGGTGATTCAAGGTGAAATATTCATTGGTTTTGAAAGACGCATCACTGTGTATCATAAGGACAGTCATCACTTTGTATTTAAATGTTGCAACAAGCCAATGAGGCGTTTGTACTTTGGAATACTTTTCAACTTTCTTGTCAAGAAGAAGAAAGGATCAAATCTAAAGATCGACCACATGAGGGAAAATAACGACAGCTGAAAGGTTTTAGTGTTTCTGAGGGAGAAGCAGCCTCTCTTGATAAAGTGTAACAAACACATTTACACACACTCGAGTGTAGTGTAGTACGGACACTTTGATAGTGAGATTTACAGTCAGCTTCCTCCCACACTTTAACGCACTCCCTCACCCTCAACTCAACGATTTTTGTCTCTGCAAATGGCACATCAAGTGTTTGAAAACCTCTGCAAATATTTAAACAGTAGAAGAAGAACGAGTGTCTAAAGGTCACATGAAAGTCTGACCTTAAGGACTAACGCTCCACACTTAAGTCTGCTTTAATTTCTGTTTTTACTGTGAAGATTAGTTGTTCAGTCAATAAAATGTAAGAAGGTGGTGAAAAATGACAATCAGGGTTTTCAAAGTTCAAGATGTCCTGATGCGTCTTATTTTGTTAAAACCTCAAAGATATTCAGTAGAGTCATAACGAAAAGAAGGAAGCTGGTTTAAAGAATTGTGCCTTTTTTTACAAAATACATTTTTTAAAAGAGGTGTAAATAATTAGTAGAAAAAGTGATTGGGTTGTTTTTTTGGGGGACTTTTAATCTGCAGGTTCCAAAGTTTAAAAGCAACCACAAGAATGACTCCGTGCAGGTTATTTTGTATTCAGTTTGACAGATTAGACCTGAGCAGAGCTTTATTTTATGAGTAATATATATACATATTGTTATTTTAAATTTTATTTGTACATTTTATTTCATTCAAACAAACAATAAAGTTAAGAAAAACAAACATAAAATCTCAAATGTTGATTGATAATATCTGCCCCTCTGTTTGTGCAGTCAATATATTTTTACTAAAATTAAAAAGCCCAGTAACAAGTTATTAGGTTCCTTTTTCTTTAACCTTTCATCAAATGTATCATGTCGAGTAAAATAAAGTGTAACTGTATCATATTCTTGGTGCACACTTCTTCTGAATATTTATTAGATACAGTTTTGTTTTTTTGTTGCTGTTAATTTGTGTTTCAATAAAAGTTTTAGATATCATCTCTGCGTGATATTATCACCATCAGTTCATAGAGGAGGTTGTCAGTAGTTTTATACTGTTTGTCATTTTGTTACGGAAATGTAAAACAGAGCAGGGGTCACATTCACATTTGGAACAGTGTAAATATCTGCTTCGTCTTGTGTGTGTTTTTAATTCTACAGCGATATGTGAATGTCAATAAATATATTTTTTTATCTTTAGTCACTTTTCTGCTGGGACTGATTCTTCATTTATATTAAGTGTTTGATTATTTTGTCTTAAATGAAGAATGTGCAACTTTTTGATCCAGTAGATGTCGCCCTTGAGCTCCAGCATGAAACCAAAACAAAACTCAAGGGCCGTCCCGTCCGTAAACATGATGTAAACACGGCTCTGAAAACAACACAGCTGGTGGGACTCGAGCTTCTCACTCATTGTAGACAGTCATGACTCAGAGAGCATTAAGGGATAGACTTGATTTCTGCTTTATGTTTAAAATGTTGCACATTCTCTGCCTTTAAGTTTGTTGTCCAGCAGCATTACCTCATCTTATTAAACTGCGGTCAAACAAACATTCCCATAAAGTTCAGATGTGAGTCACCGTGTCTTTAAGCAATCCTGAAACTTCTGTCCTGGGATAAAAGAGTGGGTGTAGTTTCTATGACTGCATCTATTGTGACAGGAAAGCTCCTTTAATAGAAGGAGAGGGAACTTTCTCAGAAACCAGAAACCATGTTCCAGCTTAAGCTCTGAACATTTGTGACTCCTAATGAGGTAAATGTTTCATAAACTCTAACCTTATATGCCATAAGATCTGACGGAGTAGCAGTAGTAGGTCGGCCTGTAACCAATCACAAAGAACAACAAAGTGAGAAAGAGCTAAAGTTGGTGAATTTAACCCCTCCATCCATCCATTATCTATACAGTCAGTTCTGCTGTGGACTGTACCGACCTGCTGGATCTGTGCTGTTTCATTGGTAAGTTAAATGTGTGCTTTGTTTAGCAACGCCTGTTCTGGTGAGTATTTTGGCTTCACTTTTGTACAGCAGGTGGCGGTAGAGATGCATCATCCAGCTTCCCAGTAAAGTCAATTTGAAATTGCAATAAAAAAGGTAATACAAAATCAAATAAAAACATTCACAGTGAAGTGATTACAGCAAATTTAAACTTTCATTTCATTTTATTTTCCATTTATTATAAAGGCAAGTTTAAAAATGAACATTAAGTTACAGTTTAGCCGGCCTGACTCAGTTTAAAAACTGGTTTCCAGCAGGTTCCTGTTCTGCAGAAACATGAAACATAAACCACAGTCATGGCACATCAAGACAAACACATTTACGGGACATTAGCCTGGGCTAGGCAGATACTGACAAATTAAAACAAACAATACAGATACATGAACGATACATGAGTGGAGAAGGTGTCATTTGTAAGGATTTCTGACCATAGTTGTTTTTGTATGCAGGGACTTCAGGTTGTAAGTCTGAGTTAGTGTGAGATTCTTTCAATAGAAGCATTGTCCAACCAAACTTTTCAAACAGGGCTCTTTGTGTTTGTAAGACATCTTGGTCACATTTAATCAGCTGTTTTGTTTTTTTAAATAAAGACGTAGTGTCAGTGAGGTTGTGGGAGGCAGTGACTGCTTCTTACCCTGACATGTGAGGACAGGTTGATCCACAGAGTACATCTGATAGGAGAGATGATCCTGAGAAACCGGGAGCTGTGAGGACACACACACACACACACACACACAATGGAAACAGGACTGAATGAAAGGAGACCTGTGAGGGTAAATACAAGATGTAATAAAATGAGATTTTGGAGATTTTTTTAAATGGCTGGTCTTTCAACATTAATCCCAGCATGTATGTGACTAAACTCAAAAAAGTTCCTCCTAAAAATGAAAATTATGACATCTTAATACTACATTACAAACCATGCTTCATTTTTAAAACTTGTTGGATGATAATTCAAAAGAAAAAGGTTGTCTTTAGCTTTTATAAGATGTGTTCTCATTTTACACTCTTACCGTCAAGTGTGTGCTCTCATATTTCCAGGTCTGGTGGTGAGAGAGAAAACATACTTTTTAAATAAATTGGGAGACAAAAAAACACATATTTGTATAGAGAAGACTTCTCAAGACATCTGGTTATGGTTTAGTACAAAAATACTTGGTTGGTTTTATCGTATTTTGTGCCCGCTCATCATATTTTTTCCCCAGAAATGTGTCACACTCTTGGGCGAACCTCTGCATGCCTGCTGTCTGGTGCTGGGCAGGTGTGTGGAGCGAGATTTATTTTTTAAGAACGTTTTGAATAAGAGCGAAAAAGTGTAACAAAAGCATGCAAAAAAAAGAATTAAAATGGCATTTATTTAACCTAGACTTATGATCTATTTTCATACTACAGGTAAATAAAAGTGCTCCCTTCACATGCACAACAAAAAATAGATTTAAAATGAAAGCCTTTATCATGTGGTAAAAATGTGGTTTTCTGCAGAATTTGGAGGAAGCGAGTGGCTCTCACATCCTTTGTAACCTACTTTCAGAAGAATGTGGAGAAAGTTTCATTACCTAAATTTGATTCGTTTTTGAATAGCTCCTTTAGGACACACCTTATCAGATATAGTTGCTAGGAATGTGTCATCAGAAAACTAATTGATTAAACGTCCTCATCCTCGCTAGTCAGCATCACAATTACTGATCAGTTACACTAATTATTAATATGTTTATTAATGTTGTGTCTAAGCTGTAACACAGCCACTGGCCAGTAGATGGGGCTGTAGCTCCAGTTAATGGCCGTGCTCTCCTCGCTCCACTGCCCTGAAGTAAACCAGCACAGTGGAGGGATTGCATCTTGTACGAGCAGCTCAGGTAGACTGGCATATAACCACTCGACCTCTGCTCAGCACGTGGCCACATTCAGCACGGGTGTGGGGTGCTAGCAATGCTAACATTAGCCACATTGAATTGATTTAATGGCACAAAACTAAAGTGGGCGGGAGCATTGGACAAAGTAGCAGATTTTATTGGTGCGAGAGGTCCCAGTTTGTAGATATGGTTTTTCAATGCTATAGCACACTTTTACAATTATTTGTAAATTATTCCGCAGACCCCCAAGCTATGGTTCGCGGACCCCTGGGAGTCCTGGGTCCCACTTTGAGAATCACTGCTCTAACACCCACAGGCTGTGTTCTAGAGCCACAGCACAGAGTAGCACCGCCTGACAGTTGGACCCCCCGAGACCAAGGAGTTCCCACGGTAATTATAGAATCACACATGACAGCACGTGATAATATAATGTATTTTGAAAATAAACTGTATGTTTTAATGTTGTTTTTCAGTGTCCGACTTCCTGCCCCGTGCTCAGACATGACCTATCATCTCTGCTGCCATGGCTGAGCGGGGGACGGACCAAACACTGACAGAATCCGGTGGAATTTATCAGTAAGACTCATCAACTAGTCTGAATTCTAATTTCCATTTAATCACCAGGGGAATTTAGTCACAAGAAAACTTTGATCTATAACAGGCATGAATCACCTGCAACAACTTAGCAGAGATCATGACAAAATGGATCCGCACTGAGGGCACACAGGCAGGAAACCTCAGACCTACAAAAGATAAAAACAGTCGAAGAAGATCAGATTGTGAAATAGAATGAGCCATTTCTCAGAGTAGGTGTGTGAGGGAGGAGAGCGTCTGCACCACTTCTCTGAAATGCTTCTTGGCACCTTAACTGGATACAGATCATCATAAATCTAAACAAGGCATGCCTTCTAGGGCACGTTGTTCTAAAGTGCAGACAAAGTAAACACAGAGTGTGTGTGTGTGTACCGCCGTGTCCATGATGCAGGGTCAAGTCCCGGTGCGGAGCAAAAATACTGAAGTTGTTCTGGTAGCTGGAGAGGTCTGACATCTCTCCACTAATGCATGTCCACATGTGGTGTTTGTGCATGTGTGTGATTCAGGCCTAAGTGTGTGAGAAGCATGTCTGTTAAATAACAGTGTAAAACCAGAATTTCCCTCAGGGATTAATGAAGTATTTCAAAATCGAAATCTTAATCAAAATTTAAGATTTAAATTCAGTTATGCAATGATGAGTGTAGCTTTGGATTAATCCTGTCATTTAAAGGAAATGCTACACTCACGTTTCTGTGCAGACAATGTTGCAAAGGCTGGCGGATTTGAGGATGTAATGGTGTGGTCAGACTCAGAGGTCTCACATTGCATGTCTTAAGTGTACTCAGTGTGTTTAGACGTGTTTGCTGTTGCAGAAGTGATGTTGCATTTCCATTTTTGTGCAATGTTACGTGACAATTTGGACAAGAGAGTAAGACCTTGGCATGAAAGCAGGCTGCTATTTCCGAGTGAGGAGTTGTCTTTTCTGTTGTTCAAGGTTAAGTTTAAAACCGTTAGTGTGCTGCCTGTTAGGTGTTAGTGTTTGTTGTTTCTGAGACGTAAGGGTCAGGTTAATGTTTGACTTCAACGGAACAAGGAGTTTAAAAACTAATCCAACCCTGTCAAGAGCTTCTGCATGCATGCAGACATCTACATGGTACTGAGTAAGAAGGAAGTTAAATTTGAAGCAAAGGACTAAACCAGACGTGACGTACTTCTGCAAAAAAAATAGGTCAATTGGTTCAACTCGTGTGTAAAAGGGCCTCTAACAGAGACAGCTTTAATTCAGAGGGTTGAGACATAACGTCCACGTATTCTACTTCAGAAACTCTCAATTGAACATGTTTAAAAGAGGATGTGACTGAGAAAGATGATGTCACTCTGTCATTATTATTTAATCCTGTGGTAACACACTCCTCCACTCAACTGATAGAGACAAACCTGAAAATATCCTCTCCAGATATACAGATTCAGACGTATTTTTTCTTCAGTTTCAAATCCAGCGTTTTGCAATACACAAGCATGAATTCAGGTTCTTATTTCTTCCGCACCGCTTCAGACCTTAATCTAATCTAGTGAGGGATGGTTGTGCAAAGTTGTGGTTAGGTTGTGAAGAACAGCCGCTGTATTTAGCTATGGCAGTTCACACGACGGCTGCACGTAAAGCAGAGGAGACTTGGAGGGTAAACACAACATTTCCTGCATTTTGTTAAGTTTTTAATGCACCAATTTTTTGGGGCTTTTCTGTTTTAAAATATTGACACAAAATATAAGATTTCTGCTTCTTTACTTTTACCTGTTCAGCTTGTCTCCCCTGAAATCTCGATCTATGGGAGCACCTTCATGCAGTGTATCCCACACAATCTTTTCTCTTTTTTTTTTTTTTGGCTTCAGGCTCACTGGATATCTGTTTTCACCCGATACCCTGTGCGTCCTCCCACAGGTTTGACATAATTGGTCATTTGGGATTATTTTTTTTAATCCCAGTGCTTTCCCACTCGTAGTATCATCCTTGTTTTCGAAACATAAAGCTAAACATGTGCAGGCATGATGGTTTTCGCATGGGCTGCCACCTGAGGAATTTCACAGGCAAATAAACCATGAGGGTCGTGCGTTGAGGTGTTCTTAAGCTTGGAAGCTGAAACCAGCATCTTTAATGTTGTGTAAGCCCCATTTTCCTTTAAACCACACCTCCAGCTGACTATAAATTCTTCCTCTCTGAAGCATCGGTGTCAGGGGGGGGAACAAACACTCAGAGGCAGGCTGTTTTCTCCTCTCTACACTCAGTACCTGCTCTCAGTGTTTACAGTGCGTGTTTCCTCCAGCATGTTTTGGCACGGCCGGCCGAGTCTTGACAGAGCTCCAGGATCACCGTAAAGCTCTCAGGACAGAGCTGTTGAATTCAACGGATCACAGTGAGAAGGGGGAATCGGTGCCTAAAGGAAAGGAGAGTCTGGATTAGTTGAGGCTATACGACCACCTCGGAAAGAAAAAGGATTTCACTTTGTGATGACTGACCGGGAACACCTTTAACCCCTCTTTTGGTATCAAATAAACCGGACTATTTTCTGACTGGATCTTCTGTGGAAAACAGTGCTGCTTCCACAAGTGTAATCCCTGAAAACCATGTATACAAATGGAACAATCGATCACTGCAGAGTACCCGATAACGCCACGTACCAAACCCTCTCCTGTCTGATGATGGGAGAGTTTGTGCTGGGTCTGCCTCTCAATCTGTCCGTCCTCTATGTCTTCATCTTCAGGTATGAAGAAACAACATTTTCTCTCTGCTTTTCTCCTCATTTCTAAATTCAAAGAAAAATGCTGTTTAGGATGTTCACCATGAAGTGTAGGAGAGCCTCCCCCCTCTGTGCCAAGAACTTGAACTTTATGATTGGGGAGGGGGGAATAGTGTAAGTGAGTGAGTAAGGGAGTGATTCCAAACTTGATTTCACAAGAAAGTAGACGAGGTCACATGGGGATATCTTAGGAAGTCTAGCTGTGTCTGGAAGTAGTGGGATCAATGATTGATCAATGCCTCGTTCCCATTTTTCCTCAAGGGTAAAATGTAGATGAGGGAGGCTTTTGGTGGTGTGACAACTTTCAACTTGTAGCTTATCCAAGAACCTTGATCTTGATTTTTGACTTTTAGACAACTCATCAGCTGGTTTTAAAATGTGTTGCCTTACAGGGTGATTTCTAACTTGATTACACAAGAAAGTTGATCACTTAGTAAGAACAGCCGCCTTTGACCTACTGCTGCGTCTACTTTCTAAAAACCTAGATGAATGACTACTTGAACAAAAGCTGTAATCATGCCAAAACGTAAAGTAAAATGTATTTTAGGGAGGTCGGCAGGAGCCTTTAGTAGCCTTTAGAAAGTTCTACTAATTGGAAAACTTTGACCTTAATAATTGATTTCTGGACGACTTATCATCTTAGCTTTTTCAGAATCAGAATCAGAATCGGGTTTTATTGCCAAGAACATTTACACAAACAAGGAATTTGACTTGGTGTATTGGTGCTAATCAATTAACAAGGAAATAAAGCAGAACTAGCAACAACTTAAATAATACAATATTTAAAATAATTTAAAAATATGAAAAATAAAAAAACACGAAATGTATTTTTCTGAGTGATTCCAACTTTGATTTAACCCCCTGTAGTGAAAAACAATGCACACAGGTTTGCACTGCAAGCAAAGCATGACAAATGTTGTGAGAGGACTTCCAGGTAAATGTAAAATCTAACAATGAATGTACACCAGACGTCACAACTACTAAAACAGAGATAAGAAAATATGACATCTCGCCCTTTGCTCCCCACTGTAGAACAGTGGGAAACAAAGACAGACCACAGTGAGAGTATCAGCTTCTAAGTTCTGACATCATTCCTGTTTTTCCTGTTAAAGGGAAATGAGTATGACGGAGAGTGTTGCACCATTGAAATGAACCGGTCAGAACTCGTCCATCCTCACTTTTAGCAACTTTTATGAAAGAAATGCCCACAGCTTTTCACAAGCTTGGTTTTTCAGCCTACACACACCTCTGTGTCTTCTTCACTGAACCTCCCTTAAAGGGCCGGTGTCTTAATCTTAAAAGGTAGATAAAACACACAGTATTTACTGTTTATAACTTTGTTTGAAATTTAAATTAACTTAAATACTTCTGGAAATTAAATTAGTTTAACTAGACACACTGATATAACAAAATGACAGAAAAAAATATGAAAATATGAAAAAGCATTTTCAGCGTGTTACAAGAGCATTATCCAAATTACAATACAGCTACCGCACAGAGAATGTTGAAGTTAAGATCTTGTCAGTGGATCTTCATCACATGTTTATTATCTTCATCTTCAGGGAGTCAGGAGTCAAAACTGTACATCAACATAACGTCTTGATGTGGAGGTTTCATGTTGTAACTTCCTCTTTAAAAATGTCTTAGTGGTTTTTTCAGTTTGTAGTCACACAGTTAAGGTGCTCTTCTGAGAAAAAGGAGGTCTAGTTGGTTTTGAACTACTATTAATAGTAGAGCGGGGGTGGGGGGTAGATTTATGTAAAAATCAAGATTCTTATCTTCTGACATTTTAAATAGATTCATAACTTCCAAAAATCTTTTTTTTGGGGGGCTAATCAGTCACTCCCTGCTAAGTACTAATGCTAGATCTTTAACTCAGCAGCAAGAAATTCAATCAGTCTCACAGATGACTGGAGTAGATCCTGAAGTATACTAATTCAAAAATAGACTTTGAATCCATGAATCCAGAATCGTTTTGAATCCAAAAAAGATTCTAAATCAAATCATGACTCCAAGAATCGGAATCAAATCAGGACACACCCAAAGATTCCCAGCCCTAGTTATTGGTACTTTTCTTTATCCTGGATGAATGATAGCTCTTATTATTGTCACTTTGTTGTTTATAAATCTAACGTTCTTTGACACAATTGAAGTTGTGTTTCGAATCAATCAATGATTTGTTTCTGGTATGATGAAACACAATCTGTCTCTGCATTTCCCTGTTTTCCTCAAAGTGCTCATAAGTGATATTTATATTGGAGAAGTTCAAAAGGAAACCTTGAATGATTGGAAAACTCAAACCTTGATTCACCCATTAGGGACTTGATGTTATAGCTTTAAGGAGAGACCGAAACATGATTTTCCAAATGTTAATAAGGCAGCTTTGGGATGGTTTAGGAAATCAAGTTGCTTTTTGACCTACTCCTATTTGTGTTCTCTGACAGAATCTCTAATTATGTCGGCGTCAGAATGGTGAAATGAAGGACTGTGTGCGTTTTAGCCTCTGAGACCAGTTCAAGTTACACCTGGAATCGATGAATAATCTGTTTGGATTCATCTTTCTGACTGTTTATAGGAGGAAACCCAAGTAGATCCCTGCTCATTCCAGCATGCAGAGGGGAGAGACAGTATTTACATCCTGTTTGGATTCTCATGTGCTGATGGAAATGTTGACAGAAACTAGTGTAGAAGTGTATTAACAGTGAAGATCCCAATCCGCTTCAAAACCTGAAATCGCAACGAAAAATCTCTTTTTTTTGTGGGGGGGGGGGTTTCTCTGCAGCATTTAATTTTCATTTGTTGCTCTTTGAGGAGAATTGTTTTTTCCTCATACTTTAATATTCTATCTTGGGCTGTACAGGGGTGCACTGGTTACCCCTGTTGCCTTTACAGCGAGGAGGTTCCTGGTTTGAATCCCAGTGGACAGGAGCCTTTCTGTGTGGAGTTTGAATGTTCTCCCCGTGCATGCTGGGTACCCCGGCTTCCTCCCACAGTCCAAAGACATGCTCGTTATGTTAACTGGTGACTCTAAATTGTCCGTAGGTGTGAAAGTGAGTGTGGCTGGTTGACCGTCTCTATATGTCAGCCCTGTGATTGGCTGGTGAACAGTCCAAGGTGTAACCCGCGTCTCGTCCAATGACAGCTGGGATCGGCTCCAGCCCCACTGAGACCCCAAACGGGAAAAGCGGCAAAGATAAGGATGGATGGATGGATGGATGGATGGATGGGTATTCCATCTCCATTTTAACATGTTTTTTTATGTTCATAGATTTTCTTCTGGTTTTAAACTTTCATTGTTAATGGATGCCATGGGAAGCCTTTTCTTTGTCTATTTGAAACACTTTTAATTATCTCTGTATTGGGAATATCTTAACATAAAATAACTGCCTCCACTGACATTAAAATCTGAAAATCACCCAATTACATAAAAAAAACATCAATGTATTCCTGCCTTACTGCAGTTAAGTCATTTCAGACCTGAATATTTAAATTGTTCCAATAACACAAAAAACTTCTTGGAACTAGTTGAAGCTACTAAAACTGAAACTTAACAACAGAAAGCATGCATGGCATTTACTTTTTTTTTTACAAAAGTTACATCACTCAAGAAGTCGCTGCATTCACAGACTCTTTTTCCCGTAGTGCGGATTGAGAGAGATGAACTCACAAACATGTTGGTGGTGGAACATGCTGTGCTGTGGATTAAGAGAAGCACTGACAGTACAGAGAAGGCAAACTCTGAGCAGCATGCAGAGAGAGAAGTGTTTTCTTTGGCACCAATGTTTCTTTTCCACCACTGTTGATATACACAGTGCAAAAAGGGAAGCATTTGAGATTATGAGACTGAGTTATATTACTGCAATAGAAGCACAAGAATGAGTTGTCAGTTTGAAGGGTGAGTTGTCCACACTAGAAGCATGTGGAGATTTATGTAGATGTTTGTTAGTAAATGCTACAATAGCATTAGCGTCACTGACTTTTCCACATTTCTGTTTTCCTCTTCATACTGAATTAACAATTCAATAACAGCTCCGTCCACTTCTTCCTCTTTAGGTTCAAGTTCTGGAAGAACAAAAGTATCTTCCTGTTTAATATTGTGGTTGCCGATTTCCTGCTGGTGGTCTGTCTCCCTGCTGAGGCCTACCACTACTGGAACGGCACGAGGCGCAGCAAGAACCCGGTGGTGTGCAAACTGATGCTCTCCATGCTGTTTCTCAACCGCGGGGCCAGCATCGCCTTCCTCATCATTCTGTCCATCGATCGCTACTTCAACGTGGTGCACCTCGGACGGAAGAACCTCGTCAAGGTGTTGAAGAAATCTCCTCAGATTTCCATCCTCATCTGGCTCCTCTTGCTGCCCCTCACCATCCCCACCATGGTGGAGACGTTCGAGTGCTGCAACAGCCACGGCCGAGCGGTGGAGACTTATTACCACGATGTGACCGACACCTTCAGAGAGGTTCTGTTTTATTTTTTTTGGTTTCTCAATTCATTCAATACGGTTATTTACACAGCCATGCACCACTGCACGGGATGGATGGATGATTTTAAACTGCATAGATACAATTAACAGATAATTAAAATACTGAAAGTCTCCGCAGTCATCAGGGTGTTAAAGGCAGAATATGCGATTTTTTTGATCCAGCAGATGTCGCCCTTGAGCACCAGCATGAAACCAAAACAACTTGCGCTGCATTGTTGTGTTAGCATGCTAATGCTAGCGATCTTTATTATGCTGGTATCTTCACACTGCATGTAAATTTACCTGAAATGAGCGTGATCTAGAAACACAGTTAAGCAGTGAGTACAGTATGTTATTCTTCTTTTCTCTAGTCCCTCAATTAAACAACTTTTATACACGAGGGGAGGAGTCAGCCGGCCGTCCCGACGATGTAAACAAACTGAAGATAGGACTCTGAAAACTCTGAAAACATCACAGACAGTGGGACTCGGGTGTTACACCCATTGTAGACAGTCATGACTCACAGAGTTATTTTCAGAGGAAATACTTGATTTCTGTTACATTTAAGTGTGAAAAATCGCATATAAAACCTTTAATATAAAAAAAAATAAAAGGCGGGAAGTTCATTTCCACCTGCAGTTGCAGTCTAGAGTTGTTCCTACGGGCCTGTGCGTTGTGAAGCCTAATGACTGTGGGTTCAAAGGATCTCCTGAACCTTTCAGTCCTGCTAATTTGACTTCAAATGCATTGATTCAGAAATGTTATCAGCAGATAATGTGTCCCCATTTTTTTTTTTTTTTTTTTTTTTTTTTACTTTTGGGATATGAGGAAATGTTACAAGCCTCTTAAGAGTGTGTATTGTTCATGGGTTTAAATCCCAGTTAGAGAATAATTTGAGATTTTGTGGAGCAACAACTGCCTCTTTAATGTTCTACAACAATACTTTTCTTCTTGTAAATCATGAATGAAGAGCTGCCTAAACTTTTAGTTAAAGTTTACACACGTGTATTCTTTGGCCTGAGTCGACTGCAGAGAAGTTTAGCTTGTAAAAATTTTTAGAAGTTGCATCACCTTTCATTTGCTGTGTGAATTTGCTGTTCTGTTCTTCATCTTACTGACGCTCACTTCTCATTTCTTGGTAGGTGGTCTTCTTCACCCAGATCGTCATCCCCTTCATCATCCTCGTGTACTGTTCTGTGCGCATCGTGAACCGGCTTAGAAAGAAGACGGTGGGCGAGAAGACCAAACTGAGACGAGCCGTGTGGGTGGTCATGTCGGTCGTGGTCGTCTTCTCCATCTGCTTCCTGCCCTGCACCATCGGCCGAGCGGTGCTGCTCGCCGTCCGGCTGCAGAACTGGTTAAAAGAGGAGGAAGTCGCCGTTCAGGTCTACGACGGCCTCATGGTTTTATCGTACATTGACTGCCTGCTCGACCCGCTCATTTATTGCTTCTGTAACTCGGGGTTTAAAGACGCTTACATATCCACCTTCTGTCCGACCTGTCTTCAGAAGAGATTGATAAACTCAGACTTTACGTTGGGGACAACGGAAACACATACGATGTCTGGAGGTAGAACAACAACAGATAAATTTTCAACTTAGGTTGTTATTAAAAACTATCTCAGAAGCAGAACAGGTACACCCACACAAGAGTTTTTGTGCATGTGGCAGATGAGATGTATTCTCTGAAAATGTTAATCTGGGGCTGTGTATATCTATTCTGTGTGCACAATTTAGCTGTAACCTTCCATAGCAATAAGCTAAAATCATGTTTAAAAAATGCAGTCTACATTTTTTTTTACATAATATGTGGTCAGTTAAGTTGCAGTCATGTTTTTCTTTCTTCAGGTGTAAATAGCAGAAATATTTTTGTAATCCTCCTTTAAAAGCTTTATATGCCATAAATGTAATAGAAATCAAGTATATCCTCTGAAAATAACTCTGCGAGTCATGACTGTCTACAATGGGTGTAACACCCGAGTCCTTCTGTCTGTGATGCTTTCAGAGTTTTCAGAGTCCTAGCTTCAGTTTGTTTACATCGCCAGGACGGCTGGCTGACTCCTCCCCTCACATATAAAAGTTGTTTAATTGAGGGACTAGAGAAAAGAAGAATAACATACTGTACTCACTGCTTAACTGTGTTTCTAGATCACGCTCATTTCAGGTAAATTTACATGCAGTGTGAAGATACGAGCAGAATAAAGATCGCCAGCATTAGCATGCTAACACAACAATGCACCTTAAGTTGTTTTGGTTTCATGCTGGTGCTCAAGGGCGACATCTGCTGGATCAGAAAATCGCATATAAAGCCTTTAAAGGGGAGATAAAATACTCATACTGTGAATTCTCTATTGAAATGTGTTCAGAAATGTGTCATATAAAACGTACTTTCAATAGCTCAAGTCTAAAAATGTATTCAACGAGATTATTCAGAGAGGAAGAAGTCAGGTGAGGAGGAAGAGAGCCAAACACCTGTGTGGGCGTACACAGCATTTAAGCAGATTACAATGTTGTCATCTGCATCACAGCTGATATCATGTTAAATCAAATACAAACAATATAAGAACAATTGCCAGATAGATGTACTAAAGCTACATATTCTAAAATAGTCTATATAGACCACTGCATATAAATATATATATTTTTGCATCAACTTTTACTTGAATGTATTAAAGGTTTTTATTTTATTTATGTGGATTCATTCAGAGCAGGCTTCAAGAAGCTGAGATAATGTGTCCGTCCTCTTGTGACTGTGATTGGTGATCATGGTTTTACTGCATATGGTGGCTTGTGCAATAACTACTTGAGCTTGAGCTTGTTTAGTTCTTTTAAAGTCTTCTGACTACTCAAAGCGCTTTTTAAACTACAAGTCACACCTACACATTCACACTCTGATGGCAGAGGTAACTAGTCCCATTCATACACATTTATACGCTGACGAAGCAGAGGGAGCAACTTGGGGTTAAGTGTCTTTCTTGCCCAAGGACACATTGGACATGCAACTACAAAGTACCCGGCAGTGTTGTAAAAGAAAGGGCAACAACCGGCTTCATTGTTAAATAATCACCCGATGGCCGTCTTAATTTTTGGTCTGTTTTTGGTCTGTAAAAGGTCAGTAAATGTTGAATTTGAATTTGATTTGCAATTTCTGTCCCGCAAAGCAAGGAAATGTCCTTATTTTGTTTGCAACCCCAACCTATGATGTAATCTTTTAAAGAGAAATAGGAATACTTCGTTTTGAGAAGCTAGAAAAAAAGAGAGATTTGATTTTTCTTTTTTTTTTTTAAATGCACTCAAACTGTTTTACCAGCTTTACCTGTTCAAAGCTTCTGTGTTTTATTTTTTTCCCTTAAATTGTGCATTGTTCACTCAGGAAACTCTTCGTTGATTATTCAGGTCGATCTCGACCTCAGAAAAAGTTTTACAATGCGTCCTCATTGGGGTCAAGTCTCTGTGCAAACTTTGTGAACTCAGCATTGTTTTTTCTCTGAGCTTACGACATCCTCACATTTACGCTTCCCTCCTGACGACTGATGTGTAACTGATTATTCATGGTCGTCAATCTTTTTCCATCAGAGTAAACAAGCCTGTCAACGTTCTGTTGTTTAAAGGAAGTTAAAAAATGATGTTAAACAACGGCTACAAACATGTCAAACCTGAGTCGACGACAGAAACCTGCAGGGCTGTGTTAACCCTTTCCTCTCCGCACTGTATACAATGTTGTGACTTGTGATGTTCGTAATTACATTTGATTTGTTTGTAAAGGATGGAAGATCTTTGTGTATTGATGTTGTGAATATACAACTTAAGCGTTGATTTTTTTCCCCAGTAAAATGTTTCTAGATCATGGAAACCACTAAAACGCACTGACATGCAGAGCTTGATTTTACAGGTGTAACTTTTATTCCAAACGAGTAAAGAAAGCATCGCCTCTTTGACCCTGCTCTAACCTCCTACATCAGTCCAACAACCAAATGTTGACATAGCTTTTCAGTCTCTCTACGCTCCATTTTTTTACCCCTATAGCAGACAGGTGCTAAAGTTTGTTCAGATTGTGTATTTGCACTCTCTTGGCAACAACTACAAACAAAACATCCACAACAGTCATCCAGACCAGAATGAATAAAACAAGACTGAACAAACACAACATCCCTCATCATGGTCTAAGTATTTCCTAAAGCTTCTCATATTGACCTATTTTCTTTTTTGTAAAAAAAAAAAATCATGTGTATCCTCTGCTCTGAGCGGGCAGGCTGTATGATTGATGAGACAGGAGATGTGGTGATAACGTTCATGTTGAGGCTAACAGGCTCAGTGCAAGAGGGATATCATAGCAACAACAACAACAGAGAAAAGAAGTATGAAAACAAAGCCAAACAAACCGTTACGGAGCTGCTTTGGTTTTTCTTGATTTTGTGGTGGCTTTGTGTCTCAGCCTCATGAGATAAGTGACCTGGTGTTGGTAAACTTGAGTTGTTAAAAAGCTAAACTGACGAGCTGAAATACTAATTTTAAACACGAGACATTAGTAGCCTGAATCATGGCACTGATGTGATCTCACACCGATACCATCATTGAATTTGGTTTTGATGTCTTGATGATTCAGCCTCATTAGATCAATTTTAACGTTTCACTTACGATAATTTCTTCAAAGCTCAACAAGTGTGTTACTTACTAAATGATTCCACTCAAGACGGTGGTGTGTTCTCAATGTCAAAATCTGACTCTGCAGCAATGTGAATCTTGACACCTTTGAATGGATTGATTACGATTTTACTGTTAATCTTTACATCACTATACTATATTTTCATTGTTAAATAATCGCCCGATGGCCGTCTTAATTGCTTCTGTTTTTGGTCTGTAAAAGGTCAGTAAATGTTGAATCTGATTTGCAATTTCTGTTTCCGCAAAGCGAAGAAATGTCCTTGTTTTGTTTTGAACCCCTACCTACGATGTAATCTTTTAAAGAGAAATAGGAATACTTCGTTTTGAGAAGCTAGAAAAAAAGAGATTTAATTTTTCTTTTAAAAAAATGCACTGTGTTTTATTTTTTTTACCCTAAATTGTGCATTGTTCACTCAATTACTTATTGAATATGATGTAGGTTAGTTTTAAAAAAGTGTATAGGATATTATTTGTCCACTCTTTTTTCCATAAAAATAAAAACTAGCCTACATTAAAAATGGTTATTGGCTATCAGGTCTTTTTGTTAAACTTGCAGAGTCAGTACATATTTCACTCCTTACCTGAAGCAGAATCTCACCTTTCCTTCAACCCACACTAGTTCTGGCCCAGCAGCAAACCGTGATGACCTGAAAACCCGACACAGGCTAACTACAGCAGGGTGGGCACGATCAGTGAAAAACAAAACACTGACTTCTTTAAATTAATGACAAAAATGAGTTTTGATTCTCCACGCCAAGTTCAAAGTATATTTTGAACTTTAGTCGGTTTCGTGGTGTATGAGCGGAAGCTGAGGTGAGTTACCATTAACTGTTGCTATGGTTACTGCCGCGCATAAATACTTCTGTCACTTCTTTTTTTTCCTGTTAACTGTTGCTATGGTTACTGCCGCGCATAAATACTTCCATCACTTCTTTTTTTTTCCTGTTAACTGTTGCTATGGTTACTGCCGCGCATAAATACTTGTCACTTTTTTTTTTTTATGTTAACTGTTGCTATGGTTACTGCCGCGCAATTACAACGTCTGGCACTTTATTTTCTTCTGTTTTGTCTGACCAAAATATAAAGTCGATATCAATTTACTGCTTTCACCTCAGCTGTTGTCAAAACTGTATGCTGTATTTTTATCCTCCTTCAAACCGGTGAAATAAAAATATATTGAATTGATTTCTTACAAAAGTTGTATCGTCGAGCTAGCGGTTTGTTTTTCCCCCCCTCAGTGCGAACCGGATGTGACGTTTTGTGGTCGTTCCCCTTGAAGCCTTATTTATAGCCTCCTTTCTAAACCCAGGTGGCAAAGAAGTAGAATAAGAAGTAGGCATTTATATATTTTACACAGGCCGAATTCCTCCAATCCTTTAAGATAATTTATTGAGTAAAAAAATAATAAATAGGCATCTTGTGTGCACTATTATCTTGCATGTAGGCCTACTTAACCTTAATTATTGTTGATGACTCTGCACACAAGATATCTAGAGAAATATCTTGTGTGTACAATATGCAAGCAAGAGATAATAACTTGGGGGCACAAAATAATAAATGTTAACTTTTTGGGACTTCAGGGGCAACGTAGATCGTATATATATTTCTGTGCAACAAAATAATATGTCTGTATTTCATTATACACCTGCAACTTACTATATAGGCTACACCATTTGTTCCAAACCTTTTTTCCTTGGAGCCCTACTTAGTTGCAACGAAAGCCCTCATTCAATGGCTCTGGTTGAGTGATGGGTTGATTTTAAACGATATTAAGTAATAATTACATATAAATAGTTCTCACTGATAAAAAGTTATCAGAATTTGCCTATAGGGTCCTGGACCCCAGATCGGGGAGCAATGCTCTACACAATATATTTACAGCCTGTATTGTTAAATGATGCAAATGGCAGAATAATATAGAAATGAAGCCAGGAAATGTATAAAGAATAACAATATTTCAATAGTACAACAGTATTATGATATCTCAGGTTGTTTATGTTTGTCAATTCTTTAAAAACTAACTCAAAGAAAATCTTCAAATTCTGTTTGCTACTTTACTTTAGTGTGCATGGGCCATGTGTTCCTTACTTGAACTACCACATGGTGGCAGTATAATCCTTTGTTATAACCAGGGACACATTCAGGAACAGGCCAAGAGTTAAAGAGGGGAAATTAAATAAATGACTGTCAAGAGATTTAGAGCATTGTGGTGATTGTTAAAAAAACAACAACTACTCCGAATATAAATATAAAACATGACCAATGCATCAGCAGAAATATCTCACATTTCCTCATTTTGCTTTATTTCTGTGTGCAGTTTGCTGGTAATTATCAGGTTGTCTTGTTTATACTCTTCCAGGTATCTATTCTGATGAAACATTGTCCACTTGTTTAAAGATACTTCCAGACTTGCTAGAAAATATTTGAAAATTGGCCAGTTTCTTCCAAAGACGCAGCAACTATTTGCAGCTTTTAGTCCCTTTATTTCTTAGCAACACTTGACTTTATAACACAAATAGTTCCTCAAAAGAAACTAAGCTTACGCAGTGATGGATTTAAACTAACTGCAACCACAAAACTGGAGCTATAGGCTAAAGAAGATGCATAATGATTAAAGAAGACGTTAAAAATACTTTGAGCGATTGACAGATTTAGGTTGGAACCAAAGGACGCGTTAAATCTGAGACTTTTCACTTTGAGGATTAAAGGACCAAATTTACCCTTTTTTCATTTTGCTTTTCCAAAACCTGGTTGAGTTTTTGGTCCTGCAGTCTGAATCATGGAGGCGTTCCAACCAAGCAGAGATCCAAAATGGCGCTCTGCCATTTCCAAAAGAGACTGATCTCTTCCCTCTCCTGCTTTTTTTTTTACTGGCTCTGTTGTGGTATTGCCAAGTTTTGGAGGGCCTGGCACCAGACGCACACTCCTCCTGCTGGTGTGTGTGTGTGTGTGTGTGTGTGTGTGTGTGTGTGTGTGTGTGTGTGTGTGTGTTTGCATGTTGTACCATCAGAACACACCATACACTGTACAAACACACATGTAGGATGTACGATTAACTGGGATGACAGATGAGTCACAGACTGGAACATCACTGCTGGCGAAGATCAGAGGAAAGAGGTCAAGCAAAATCCACACACACACACACACACACACACACACACACACACACACAGCACACCATGAAAGAGCAAACACACACACACACACACACACAGATACATTTGACATCAAAATAAATCTCATGTTCACCTCTAATCTGCTGAAAACATAAATAATGAGAACTTTTCATCAAGCCAAAGAGCAGTAATGAAATAATCATTTGATCTGCAGCAGCAGGCTCATGACATTAAGCAGACTTTGTAATTTTAGAATCTATTATTAAACATTTCAAGTCAATTATTTAAGGTTGTTTTTTTCCACTCAAGGATAAGAGATGGTTAAAAATCTTGAGCTGTTATAAAAGGTACAATATAAAGCAGTTTACATGTTTTAACGGTTTTGTATTAAAGACAAAACAAGGAGTAAGACACACACATCCAAAGAAAATCTTTCACAGGTGCCGGCTCAAAAATCAAACTGAAGGCAAGAATGAAAAAAGGATCCGCACATTGTATTAAAAGCTCTCGGCTACTTTTGCTGCAAAAGCAACATTTCAATATCACAGATCTTCTTCTTGACTTGACAAAGCTCGAAAAAGATCTGCGAGGTTGAAACTTTGCTCTTGCATTGGTTTTGTTTAAACCAATATGTGAACAGATGATACATTTTCAAAACACTGCCTGTTTCCACTGGTCAGCCTTTTGCTAAATGTGATGTCAAGATAGTTCTTCCAAGAAAATACAAAGAATTTAATGTTTGTGAATGTAATGTGCTGTTGAAGGCCTTGCTTTCCTTCTGGCCAAAACAGTGGCAATAATGTGCCAAAACACAAGCTAAGGTTAGCTTAGAAATTAAGTCCCCAGATGTATACAAATAAATAATTATAATTAGTGACAACCACTCCAACTGTGATTGACTTAGACATTTGGGAGTTATGGCTTCAACATAGGCAGGGTGTACAATCTATCATAGTACCTTTGTTTGATTTAATTAGCTAATGTTAGTCTGCTTACTTACATGAATTGACTACTTGCTGGCTGGCTAATATTATTCCACACAGCTAGGCTATTAGTCAAGCAACGTCAGGTGTTAAAAAATAAAGCCAATGCTTAAATGCAAAAAACTGGTTTGGTTTGTCCATGCTGGATATTGATCCGTGAATAGTCTTGAGTTGAAGTAGGCGTATATTCATCCATTTGGAGAAATTAGCAAGGCATGATGAAATTCTTGCAGACTGTGATGTCATCTGGCAGGAATGACAGGAGGAGCTGGGTATCATCAGCATAGGAAAGATATAGTCCACTTCTTCGCCTTCTTCTAGATTGATTGAATGTTTGAAGGAGATAGCATTTCAAACAAAGCCAATCATCATTGGGCTTCATGGTGCCTCTTCAGCAACCAAAGGGTGACATCACTGAGACTACATCCACGTTTTCTACAGTTTACAGTTAAAGTGAAGTTAAAAGTACCAGGCTAACCTTTTTGCAAAACACGTTCTTATTGAATATGATTTATTGGCTAACACTCCACATCACTTTACAAGCTAACCCGATGCATGATACTCTTTTATGTAACTCTATAAAAGGTGTAGATTTTTATAAAACAATATATCACTTTATTGGTGTGAAGTGACGGTGTTGCTGTGATGCTGATAAATCCCATTCAGTCTTATTCATGGCGTGAAAACGATTTACCAGATGCACAGTTAGCTTAAGGACGCTGACTTCAGTTCACTCAAACACCACAGATGTCAGATATCAGTAACAGATTTTATGAATATCACACACAGTACCTTTAAGTTGTCAGACGGAAGATTTGCAGAAATATGCTAATATGATAAAGCCCGGATGTAAACAGCACATATTAGTCAGGCAAGAAAATAGTAAGATGAATTCTGATTTTGAAAGTTTTTATTCTTATTCATCGACATGTTTTAAAAAAAAAAAAAAATCAGCGCATCGGTTTCAAAGCAAACTTTAATGAAATAGTAATTATTTAAGCTACCTGAGCAACGAAAACCTGATTTACATCTGAAGTTAAAATGCACAACTCTCAGTAAGATCATTCCAACAACAATCAGATTTAAAATTCAGTGAAATATGGACTCCACTCACCTGATTGAATACCTCTCTGAATCAATGTAGTCTGAAGACAATACAGTTCAGCATGTTTCTGTAATAGTAGGCAATTTCATGCCTAGTAATGTATGTTTAGAGGAGCGTAGCATTGTATATAAAAACAAAAAAAACTTCTTTATCATACCCCAAATAATCACAAGTTCTACGACCGGGGCAAGTTTCCTGTTTACTGCAAAGACTTGAGGAGATTGACAGCCATTACCAACTTTATTTTGATTGAGAGATGAACATTAAAGAATTATAAATAAAATATCTGAAAGTATGTGTATATAATTAAAACCCAGCTTGCATCTGTAACCCAGTTTAAATCATAAAACAGCCCCATCATTGAAACCCTCGCTAAACTGAGAGAAGAGGACTCTCGGCTCATCGTTGGTTATCTAGGCCTTGGATTTGATTCCGATTGGACAGGAGACACCGGTCCCGGCCAGGCCGCAGTATCCATCAGGGTTTTTATTCAGGTACTGTTGGTGGTAATCCTCAGCGTAGTAGAACTTCTGGTCCTCGGCTATTTCTGTTGTAATCGGGCCGTAACCTTCCTCTGTGAGTCCCTGGAAGAGACAGAAAGAAAATTTTACATTTCAAGGATATGAACGACAAATAAATATAAATAACAACGAGAGAATGGAGAGGCAGAAAGATGAACATTTCAGTGACTTCAGGGAGAGAGAGAGAGAGAGAATGTGGAAATACATGTGGAAAAAGAGCAACAAGTCGGATTTGAACATGGGCCGCTCATTTTCTAGAACTTTAGCCTCTGTACATTCAAGATTTGTATTTGTAACATGCTCATACAGATGTGCAGTGAAATGTAAAGACTGTTCCACGAGGCCATGCAATAAACACTCAAAAATTACTAATACACATATATACAGTGATGTAGAAATACAATGTAAAAATTAAAAAGAAATATTTAAATATACAAAATGTAGAAAATGTAAACAGTGTAAAGTGTCATGGGGTGCGCATAAATAACCACTAAGCTACTGGTACCAGCTCCTTGCAGTGTTCTTAACCAGAAACCAGATTGGCAGAGTAGAGGAGGAGAGGGGGGAAATTAATGGAAAGTAACAATACAGTCATTGAACTTTCCATGACTGTGTGTCTGCTTCAAACCGACACAAGAATCTGTTCTGCTGGAGACAGATCTTTGTGTACATCGGTTAACGAAAGGTGGAAGGTGTCAATTCAAGGGGACCCCCAGCAAGCTCCCTTCTGCACATGACTAGATTCCAAATGACATTACCAGCACAATATGTCAGTTCCTGTTGCAGAGGATGTTGGCTTCACTTTTTATTTGTATTTTTATTTTTACAACAGATGGAGACATGGATGCACTGTCCATATTTATACACAAAGTCAGTGGATATAAATTATACAACATTAAGTAAATGTGACTCTCCTTGCAACCAAATTGACCTACTACGGGTACAAATAAAGTAAACCTGAAACTGAACAACTACATAATACATGCACATATATTTGTAGTCAGACTCTGTGATCAAATTAACTCAACCAGATGGGGTGTGTTTAAATTAAAAGACAAAACGACGCATGAAAAGACACAAACTTAAACTTTATATCCTGACTGAGGGGGTGTTGATGATTTGTTTTTTCACTGAACGTGTTGTCTAAAACTCCTTACATTGTTTAGATGACGGCAGGTGATTCACAATTCAAAGCAGGATAGCCGCATATATTGTATTCTGGTTGTACCAGTGCAACACAAATTTGCACACAAGACAAAGATGAAAAAGAGCAGCTGTATAAAACTCGTTGTCAGTAGGGTAAAGATCGTGATGGCGTAATTCTGCAGACAGTTTGAATGTTTCGAATGCACTGCCAGATTAAGTGGAAAGAACTCCTTGGGGAAATACTAAAAAGTGTATTTTTAGTCCAAAAACAACATTCAGACTTTAAGTGTTGCTGGGTAATTTCACACATTGCTGCCTCTAATAGTTAGTGAGGGGTAATTGTTTGAAAACCCATTTAACTTCATTGACGTCAACGCTCCAAAGTCGTTACAGTCGATGTCAGAAAACAAACCCAGAGGGTCTGAGGTGCTCTTGAATCGAAAATACTAATAAGAGATGAGAGAATCAAAAGATGTAACGTTGGCAGGTTTAGTCAGAATGAGACTCTCCTCTCTGATGCACTCGTGATTCAGACTGGAAGGAGGTAGTTTTCTGAATAGTAAGCACTTTTATTTATGCAGTATTTTGAAATACAAGGGTGAAGACAATTTGTACAAGGTAAAGAAATGAAGTTAAACTGGTGCATAAATAAAGAAAAAGGAGTTTTTGCCTTGATGGCAAATACATGAAAAGCTTAAGCACACTAACTTTTATAGAAGTTTCTTTCAGGTTTGGAAACTTTCATGTATTGTTATTTCTATTCATTTGATCATTTCTATCATTATTTATTTTCTTTCTATTATTATTTCCATCCTCATTATTATTCATTTTATTTGCTCCGTGTTGAGAATCAGCGTGTTCTAAAACCCACAATGCATCTGGTTTGTCCATGTCAAATAATAATCTATCTATTCATCTATCAATCCATCCATCCATCAATCAATTCATCATCCATCCATCTACTCCTCCATCCATCTACTCATCCATCCATCTACTCATCCATCCATCATCCATCCATCTACTCCTCCATCCATCTACTCCTCCATCCATCATCCATCCATCTACTCCTCCATCCATCAATCAATTCATCATCCATCCATCTACTCCTCCATCCATCATCCATCCATCTACTCCTCCATCCATCTACTCCTCCATCCATCCATCATCCATCCATCTACTCCTCCATCCATCTACTCCTCCATCCATCATCCATCCATCTACTCATCCATCCATCTACTCCTCCATCCATCTACTCCTCCATCCATCTACTCATCCATCCATCTACTCCTCCATCCATCTACTCATCCATCCATCTACTCATCCATCCATCTACTCCTCCATCCATCTACTCCTCCATCCATCCATCATCCATCCATCTACTCATCCATCCATCCATCATACCATCCGGCTCTCCATGCGTCAATTCCATTCTATCATCCATCACTCCAACAACCCATCAATTAATTCATCCATCCATCCATTCATCTATTCATCCATCCCTCCATCAATCCATCCATCCAACTATTCATCTAATCATCCATCCATCATACCATCCGTCTCTCCATGCGTCAATTCCATTCTATCCATCCATCCATCCAACAACCCATCAATCCATTCATCCATCCATCCATCCATCCATCCAACAACACATCAATCCATCTAATCATCCCTCCATCAATCCATCCATCCATCCATCCATCCATCCAACAACCCATCCATCCATCGATCCATCCATCAATCCATCCATCCATCCAACCATCACTCCATCCATCTATCCATCCATTAATCCAACAACCCATCCATCCATCGCTCCATTCATCCATCCATCCAACCATCACTCCATCCAACTATCCATCCAACAACCCATCAATCCATCTAATCATCCCTCCATTAATCCATCCATCCATCCAACCATCACTCCATCCATCTATCCATCCATTAATCCAACAACCCATCCATCCATCGCTCCATTCATCCATCCATCCAACCATCACTCCATCCAACTATCCATCCAACAACCCATCCATCCATCGCTCCATTCATCCATCCATCCAACCATCACTCCATCCAACTATCCATCCAACAACCCATCCATCCATCGGTCCATCCATCATCCATCATCCATCCATTAATCCCCAAACATTAGAGTCTGCTTCACAACACAGATATCACTCTGTCTCTTGCTCTTAATGGAGTTTAATCATGGTGTCTTCTCATTCATAACTCCTTCGTGTGAACACGAGTGGAGAAAGGTTGAAGGTGTGCTGATGGAGGAGAGCGGAGGCTTCAGAATAACGGAGGTGCTCAAGAGTGACATCTAAAAGTTTCACTTCTTCCTTTAAATCTGATCGAACATGCAGGTGCTGACAGGACGTGTACAGTTTTTTTTTGGTTAGTTTAATTAAAGTTATTACATCGTTATCAACAAATACATCGACAGCCGTCCTTGACAGTTCTAATCAGCATCAAAATCATCCTAAATATCTTCATCATCATCATCTTCAATTTCATTAAGTGCGGAGGTGTTCATGTAATGGCTTGGTCTTTAGCTTTTTCTTAAAGGTGCAAAGGGACTCTGCAGATCGACTATATTAACCTGTCAAACAAAGCTCAAACTACAAACGCAGATCAAAGCAGTATGATGTCATCCCTAATTAATTAATTCTTTAAAAACAAGCAAAATGTTTAAGATAACATCTGCAATAACTTCACTTGTGTGATTTTTTTTTTTTTTTTTACCAACCTGTCTGTGCGGAACAAAACGGTAGCCAAACTTGCTGACTGTGAGTCGAAGCCCGCAGCTATCTTTGAATTTTAATTGAATTTTTTAAATCAACATTAAGTCCCTGAGTCAGCCCTGATTTTACACTTGAAGAAAAAAAGTAGGCCACAGTTTTACTTTGAGCCAAAACACAAGTCAAAGCATCCCATCCTCACAAGAAAGACTCGGCTTGTGATGCATCTGTTTTTTTGTTGTCGTTGTTATACGAGGGGATTCATGACTTCAAGTCTGCAGGGCCACAAATGTCTGCGTGTCGGATTAGTAAAGCCGAGTAAAAGCTGGGATGATGGTAAGGTCGCCAAAAAAGAAAGTTCAAGTTGTCTGAAGGTGTTTGCTGAATTTTTTTGTCAGTAATTGTACACTGCACGAGTTCAACATGTAAACATTAAATTAAACAGCTTTACAAGTTACAAAGAAAGAGTCTCGTTTGTGCAGTCTTGGGAAAATAAAGGCACCACCATCAGGTCTCTCCACACCTGTGACTCCAGAAATAAAAACATCACCTCACATTTCACTGTTTCTAAAACTTCCTCGACCAACCGTTCCGCGTTTCTCTTGTCCATGTGTGCTTGGTTGGGCTGGTCCTGCTGCTGTGTTAGCAGCCCGCCATAAAAATGCATAATTCACATCCATTAATTTGCATGTCAGAGAAGTAGATTTCTCATTTGAAATGCAAATACCTTGACTGCTCTGGTAAAGCAGGAAAATGTGAACAATACAGATAAGCACCCAGGAGACGCAGAGAGAGAGAGAGAGAGAGAGAGAGGTGTGAAAACATTTGGAAATAAAAAAAAAGGTAAAGCTGGCATGTTTAAAGGAAGGATTTCAAAGAGGAAAGAGGAAAATAAAGAGAGGAGAAAAGCAGCTGATTGTGTTTGGAAGACGAGATATCAACATTCATAAAAAAAGGAAAATGTAGCTGCAGACATGAATCAGGAGGGAAAGAGATGCCAGAACAATGAGTACAAACTGCTTCAGCACCCATGCTTGCACCCACTAAGAGAGCACACATGATTACATAAAAGAAGCATGCAACACACACACACAAACACACACACACACAGTTAGCACTTCCACCTGCCATTTTAGACGCAGTGCACACCCTAATGATGGGTAGGAGGCTGGAGAAGAAAAAAGGGAGGCTCCTTTCATGCTGCAGACAACAGCCAGCCGCCTGCAAGGTAATTTTCTGCAGTGCTTTTGTACCTCACTCGCGCAAACACTCACAAACAGAAACACACACACACACACACACACACACACACACACACACACACACACACACACACACACACACACACACACACACACACACACACACACACACACACACACACACACACACACACACACACACACACACACACACACACACACACACCAAATTCCCCAATCACTCTGTGTGAACAATGCAATCAAGCCAGGCGGCATAGCGAACACAGTCAACACCCTGACAGTCAAATTAACCAGACAATTCTCCTTGGTTATCGCCTCTTTTCGCCCAAAATTTCACTCGTTTTTCCATCTGTTCTTCACTTTTTATACACTCTTGCATCTACTTGTTCATGTTTGCATGTTTAAAATGTGCTTGTAGATAAAGTAGAAGACATATTGGATACATTCTGATTGTAGTGTCCTGGGGAAATCATCCAAGCTGTGATGCATTTAAGACCTTTTTTTTTTTTTCTTTCTTTTCCAGATTTGATTGAAATGAGAGAGAAGGAGCGAGTAGTTAGCAATAGCAGCCTAAAGCTTTCTGTGTCTGCAGGTGAAAAGAAAAAAGAAAGCCGCCTTTAAAACGCTTCATCAACAGGAAGAAAAAGACCCCACCCAAGAATTGAAGGGGCACAAGTCATTAATATTTCAAAGATGGCACTGTGCACATGCAACGCAATCTGAGTGTGCTAAAGAAATAATGCATCTTAGCTCAACAGAGAACAGAAAAAAAACACTGAATTATTGAACTGTGCATGACTCTTTTGGCACAGAAATGTCATGTAAATCACATATATGTTTACGCACATTAAGACAAACTGAGTCAAAACATCATTTCAGTGTATGCATATATGTGTGCTTGTGTTTGCGTGTGTGTTTGTGCATTAGTTTTGCAACTAAAGCGATTTTTTTGCGGAGGACAGATTTAAGGCCCAGATGGTTTGGCATGGAGCGTGTTTGCTATAGGCCAACTGCTCTCTCACACACACACACACATGTACACACACACACACACAGATGGGAGAGGGTGGGGGAGACAATCTGGTGAGAAGAAATTGAGAGAGGAAACAAAACCTAGAGAGATTGATGGAGAGATGTGGTTGTTAGATGAAGAGAGTCCGTCTAGAAACTCAATCTCTCTCTACAGGAGTGAAAAACAAAAAAGAATCACACGTGTGTGTTCATGTATGACTGTTATATAATGCTTCAGACTATAACTACCTGTCAGACCAGCACTAAGACACTGGGAAAGTCAAAAGAAAATGTCAGACAAAGCCTTTCTTTCACCACCTTCTATTTTCTCATGGACTCTCCTCCATCCTTTCTTTTCCATCTATTTTTTTTATCGATGTCTGTTTGCCTCTAAATGTCCCCTGGTTTTTAAAGGGGACATATGGAAAATCCAATCTGACAGTGTTTTTGAACATACAGTATATTTGGGTAACCTGAGTGTCTACTGACCCACAACATGTGAAATAAACCCATCCAGTCCTTTGTTTGTGGTCTGCATAAGTCTTACAACGCAGAGGAAAATGCTCCGTTTTAAATGTGCTCTCTTTGTGACATCACAGTGGGATTCTGGTAAAAAAAAAAAAAAAAAAAACACCCCTCCCCTGGTATCTCCTCCCATGGACTAGACAGCCTAGAACAAAACTTTTTCCCAGGTCCGCCATTTTTATTCTCACTACAGAGAAGTGATGTCTACCAGGAAAACTCAGGGGGGGCTCATCGCATTTAAAGAGACACACACGCCAAAACGGAGCGTTCTGAGAGAGCTGGTTTATACAGGGTCACAAACCTCCTCTGGTGCTTGATTCATGTTATATTTTGACCAACGCACAGCACAGATGTTTCATTTAGACCACAGGGGGGACTGTTTGAAAAGGTAAAAAGGGTTCATGTTCTCTTTAAAGATAATTCTGTGACACCACATGCTGCCTCTAGGGTTGTCACATTACCTGAATTTCAACTTAAGCCATGTTACTAGTATTAATCCCAAATATCTGTTCCTGTTTCATTGTCATGGCAACAGAAATAGAGGTCATAGGAACCCAATATTTTGTTAATTTCTTGTTAATCAACAAAAATTACAGGAAAACTTCTGCAGACGGCCTGAATTGCAAAAATGTATTTTCCTAGAAGCAGCTTTAGGTGAAAAATATAACTGAAGGTCTGCAGGTTTTATTTAAAAAGCTATCAATCATCAAAATAACAGAGATGGTATTGTTTTAAAAAATATATATTTGTCTCGGATTTATGTATGCAAGTATCAAAAATGTTGAAAACCTAAGAAGCTTCCCTGCATGCATGTGTTACTACCCCTACACTTGCCTAAGGTCGCCAGGGAGAGGTTTGTTTCTAAACTCTGCTTTGGTCTGTATTTAAACACAAAGAGGCAACAAAGTGAAGCTTGAGTTCAGCTCTGCTGCAGGATTTACAATTCTACCATTCACTTAGCAGATGCTTTTATCCAAAGGGACATTTTATTTATTTATAATCCTTGGGGTACTAGGTTCCTTACAAGCTATCTGCTCCTTCTAGTGACCTGTTTGAGTAGTGCACAAGTAGAAAACAATGAAACTTGGCTTTTAATCGCTAGTTAAAGGTCAAATATCATGCAAAATACGCTTCACCATGTTTCTCTAACATTAATATGTGTCTCTAGTCCGTCTACAAACCCGCCAAATATAAGAAAAGTCTCTGTCTTTTTCCTGCTCCACTTTTCAGAAAATGTGTGCTCAAACAGGCCGTTTGGAGATTTTCCCTTACGTTGAAGTCTGTCACCTTCATCTGTGTGACATTATGAGGTGTCTTTAAACGTTCATTTAAAGGTGTGTTCAGACAGAGCGTAAGGAAATCTCTCGCTTCCCATCATCATTCATGCAATTTTCACAGCAGGACCATTTGTGTTTATTGCTGCAAACGTCTCATATAGAGATACTTAATGTGTGTTTGCTGCAAGCTAATGGACGATGAATGCAGTAACCTTGTCTGAGGGAGAGTGCGTCTCTGTGTTTTTGTATGCACAAGTTGACACTAAAGCATTCTGCACCGCCCCCCCTGCAATTAGTGTCAAATCCTATCCTGACTTTCGCTTTGAATGCAAACACACCGCCGCTGAAATATTCGACAAAGTTGTGGAAAAATGTTAGAAAGAAAAAACCTTAAACCACATCTGCTGATTCTCTGGTGACGATGGAAATCTGCACTCAATCTTCCAGAAGTGTTTTGATTTGATGTTTTTTGATGTTAATCTTTAAAAGAGAAGAAGCTCACACCCCGTGAGTTCAAATAGTTACAAATAGCAGCACAGTCGTGTTCAGTCCTCTTGTCTCGACAAACCAATAAACATCTACAATCAGTTCAGACATCAAAGTGTTTGGGCTCATGATTACTGTATTTAGAAGCTTTCATCTCAATTTTCCCAAACTGGAGAGGAGAAAAATGAAACAATTTGATTTGATTTCATGTTTTTGATGAGCCTGATGGGAAAACTATTGGGCATCATCGAAAGACATCCACAGCGTTCGACCCTGAAGAAGATCCCCAGTCGATCTGTTTGTGTTAATAAACGGGCAAATCGTCTCGAGGTCATGATGGTGTTTAATTTATGTGGTTTAGATTTTGAAATGTCTTGTTACATTCATCTTGGCAGTTTAACCTTAGGGTTAGGGTTGCTCCACTTTTCAGAAAATGTGTGCTCAAACAGGCTGTTTGGAGATTTTCCCTTCATGACATCACAAAGGGCAGTAGCCCCTCCCCCAGGTGGGTGACACTCCCACAGCTAGGTGTTTGTTCTGCCCTCTGAGTCTGCCTTCTCATCGTAAACAATAGGACATGGAGCGAGAAAGCACCGAGTACACCAGAGTCCTTCCAGAGAGGGGGCGTGGTCAGACACAGCTCATTTACATATTTAAAGGTACAGACACAGAAACAGCCTGTTCTGAGCAGGGCTGAAATAGAGGGGTTTATAGACATGATCAAATACAGGATCAGAGTGGATTTAGAACAAGAAACTTCAACTTGAGGAGCTCTGAGACTTATTTAAACTGATTCAAAAGGAGAATATGCTAAGTTTAACCAAATAGTCTTTGTGGCTTTTGATTCAGAATAAAAGCACAACTGAAGTGTTCACCACCTCTTAGTTACCAACACTGTCTACAGAAAACTGAATTCATGCTTTTTTTTCTCCCCCAAACCCATTAAAATACTTGAACCCAGGAACCACATGAGCTCGTGTTTCTGTCACATCATGAATACAGTTTTTTCGATTTGTTCATGTGGGGCTGGACTACGGCAGCGATGGAGGTCGAGAGAGTAAAAACAAAGAGCGGAGAGACTTTGTTAAGACAAAGGATGTTTTTTAGAGGGACAGGATGGAGAAGTGGAAATGAAATAAGAGCAAATGGACATTTGAATGAAGAGCAGATTACACTAGAACAGAAAAGAGAAAGGAAAGAGTACAATAGAGTACAACCTCCTCCACATCGGTTTCCAAGGCAACAAGCCCTGTTGGTGGGATAGTGGTGCAGAAGTCTCAGCAGGAGAGAGTTCAACAGAGGGAGTTGGTGTGCGTGTGTGTATGTGTGAGTGTGTGTGTGAGTGTGTGTGTGTGTGTTGGGGGTGGGGTTGAATTTAAAAGCATATGGACATGTATGGCAAATGCAACATGCACACACAGACAGATTTATTTTCTTTCTGTGTTCATGTGTTTGTTGTCGTCAAAGAGGCCTCTGTTTGTATTTCTGAGACTCTTTCGCAAAAAAGGGGGGAAGGACGGAAGAGGGGCATGCTGGGAAATTGAGTCAATAAAATGGGGAAAAAGAAGGAAGTAACAAAGAAGAGATAAGGACAGAGATGATGGAGGAGGCTGATTGATGAATAGATTTGTGTGTACCTTCTGGTATTGCTCTTTGGACGCTAACGCTTCCTCAAAATGCGGCTTCGTGTCGGTGTAGATGGCAGAACGGTACGTCGTCCCAACATCGTTCCCCTGTCGCATCCCTGACACACACAAACACAAATCAGAATTTCAGCGCATAATTAATCTCAGCCTTCTTGCTCTTTTTTTTTTTTCCGTTCGGCAGAGGCAACATCAGATCATCTGAAAACAACAGCTGACAGCTTTTTCCAAAAATAAAACCCGTCGGTCTTGGCAGGAACTGAAGGCTGTTTTTGACTGCGAGCTGATCATTTCATCATGTATCCTTTCATCATTTCGATGTCAGCTTGTCAGCCTGTCAACCACAATGTTTGGTGAGCTACGAGGCAAGCGAGGAGTTTTGGCTCTAAAGACGGCAACTTGTGTCAGTCAGTCTGTCAATCCCAGACTTCAGTCAAAAGTGAAACTTCTTTTCTTTTTTTTTTTTTTTTTTACAGAAATGTATGAACCCCAGAGTAAAAAATACTGACAGCTTTGGTGTGTTTCTTTTTTGATCAAGTACAGCTTACAGGGTCTAAAGCTCACAATTTGGGTCATGACAAACACCAACGATGGAATAAAGAAGGCCTTAGCTGTGCTAGCTGACATTAGCTTTCAAGCATCCTTTAAAGGTCCCACATTATACAAATGTTTTACCTTTCATGTTTTCAGTCTGTGAAACCTAAAGAGTAGCTTTACACCTCATAAAACTCCTTTTTATCTGATACTGGTGTCAGTAAAAACCCTGATTTCAGCGTCTGCCTGAACGGTAATTTTACCAGCTCTCTCTTGAAGCCTAACATGGGGCCAGAACGCTGCAGGGCTGCCAGTGGAGGGAAACTCTCCTGACAGAAAAGCCACTGAACCTTTAACTTAATATCAGCACCTTGAAAGTACATTTTAAAATGTCAACAAATTAGACATACTTCCCATTCTGTCTGGTTTAATATAAAACTCTCTGCTTGTGTGTGGCTGAGGTTTTACCTTGAGTCGGGTTGTGACTTTCCCAGAAAACTTTGAGCAGGTTGGCAAAGCTGATCTTCTCTGGATGGAAGACGACCCTCACCACTTCAGTGTGACCTGTCTGACCTGTAAAACAAAAACACGAGACAGGGAATGCATATGCTGTAAATTTACGGATGTGTTCAATCACTCCCATTCATTCATTCATTCATTCATTCATTCATTCATTTATTCATGCATTGCCAAATACAGGTCAAGTCGAAAACCCAGAAAACAAGAGAGAAAAAGCTGCATACCAAATAATCACAACAGGAGACCTCCAGACCTGTTCGGTGGTGCTGAGTGGAAAAGTTTTATTTCAAAGAGAGAGAGAAGAGAGAGAGAGAGAGAAGAGAGAGAGAAGGAGAGAGAGAGAGAGAGAGAGAGAGAAGAGGAGAGAGAGAGAGAGAGTGAGAGAGAGAGAGAGAGAGAGAGAGAGAGAGAGAGAGAGAGAGAGATGAGAGGAGAGAGAGAGAGAGAGAGAGAGGGAGATCAGGGACTGAATCTACTGATAAGGAGACAAATGAAAAATAGACGCGAAGAGAAAAAAAAACACACAGCTTTGGACTCTGATTTGAAGTTTATCATATTTTAAGGAAAAACGTATTTTGATAGACTGATAGCTTTGCTTAATTCAGGGGTGTCCAAAGTGCGGCCCGAGGGCCATTTGCGGCCCTTGAGGGGATTTTGCGGCCGTGACTTCACATGAGGCCTTGATTAAGATTGGCACACTATCTTATTTTTATTTTTCATGTTAACAAGGGCTGAACAATATTCCAAATAGAAAATGTTCAGTAACATGTATGTTGTTTTTTTTTTTTTTTAAATCTACAGCTTTTACTATTTTTTGGTAAACTATGAAAAAAAACTTATGCAAAGTTTTTGCAAACAAGCGGACTGTTGTTTAACCATTTAATGACCTGAGCTAAATGCAGAAAGCTTTTCCAAAAAATGAACCACGTTACAGACTTGATTCTGAGAAAAAACAAATGAAGTAGAACGAAGAAATCAAAATATTTGATTTC